GTAACTTATGGGTCTCCATTGGACACCCACATTGGTTCTTAAATCATGTCAAACAAATGAAGAACTTAAACCTTGACACAGCATAACATAACATAACATAACATAACATAACAACTCAACCAACCTATGATCTAGATCTTGAATATACAACCAACATAGTTGGATACAAATAAACTCAGATCTTCCAACTATGTAACCATTCTATGAATTCCCTGCATTTTCTGCATTTTTTGCGTCTATGGAACGAGCCAAGTTCGGCAGACATTATGCGTGTCGTTGGAAGATCCAGGTCTTCGCTTCAATTTTCCTAGAAGCTTCAACACGTCTCAGCAGGATTGGTGTTGGCCGAAGTTTGCGCTTCCACAGCCATGGCACGCGTTCACCCACCTTATCTTTCACCTCAAACTCTCTAGGCCCTGAACGTTCACGTGTTTACGGTGAACAATACTTACGGTACGGAGACCATCGGTTGTAGACACTCAGCTCCCCCCCCCCACAGTCAGCAGTCAGCAGTCAGAAAAAACACACTGCAGTCAGTTCTCCATGGAAAACCTCCAAAACCTTCAAGAAGCTTCCTTAGGAATCGTTTCACCGGGAATCGTTTCACCTGTAACTCAGAAGCTACTCGTACTAGGTCTTAGGTCTTTGAAGCACGCCAAGGAGCAACTAGCAGCTAGACTCTCCTCCAAGGTGTACGAAGTTGCAGTTGAGAGCACGCCAGCTCACGGTGACGACCCACTGTGCCGCCTTGGACTATGGCGAGCTGCTCCAGGGGCGCGTGACGCTGACGGAGGCGAGGGGAGTGGAGGACCGAAGGTCGAAGGAAGAAGAAGAAGAAGAGGAAGAACCACCACAGAGTCGTCGGTCGCACCACGTTTCCTTCGGTTGGTTTATGGTCAAAGACACAGGTTTTGAGGAGGTATTTTCCTTCCCAATGACCACCCGAAGCTGGGTGGTGCTGGAATAGGCTCGGTCGAGTTTGCCAAAGTGGTCGTATAATTGAGTCTGGTCCACGGACTTTGGGGTTCTGGTCTACGTGAAGATATGGCAATCGGTCAACACCGGGACCTTGGTTGACCCGAAATGAACCGAATTCACTACTAGAAAAGGTCAACCTACGGTGCACAGGGCTCCGGGTGCCATGGGGTGCGGTGACCCACGGGGTGCCATGACCCACAGCCATATTGCTATCATCCGAATCAAGTGCTCATCCAATCTGCGACAGACAGTTGCTTGCCATGGGCGACGTGGGCTTTCCATGGAATCTTTTCACGCGGGTACATCGTCACGAGAGGCTCTCACGTCGTGGGTCGAACCGATGCTACACATCCTAAAAATTATTGGGACATGGCACTATGACAGGTACTTGTACCGTGCCCATTTGCTGAGGTACGAACTCACAGGTGGATCGAACCGATGCATCTTGGACTCATCCTCCCCAAAGATGGCAGATTGACTTGGTCCAACCGGAGTCCTGGATGCGGAGTCCTCCACTCGACATCCTCCGGAGTCAGGTGGCGAAAGGCTTCGCGGAGGCCATCTTCGATGCGGAGGAATTTGGGGACTTCCTCCTCTATCCACAGGCGGAGCCTGGGAGCCTGGGTTCCAACTCAGCTTGACGATGAGGGACTCATTCAAAGAACGAACTTGTAAGGTTGACCGTTGAACAAAGATGCGATGGAATTTGACAAGTACCTGAGCAGGTCATGTAGATCACTCGCATTTTCCGACCGAGCGGAACGAGCGTCTTCACGTCCGAGAGTGTATCACGTCGACGCGTTTTTTGTTTGTTTGTTTCGACTGTGAAGGAGCCGGAAGGGAAGGCACATGGCACAAGGAAGTGCCTTTGGCTCCAGCCCGTTTTAGAGATTAACTGATCATATCATTAAACATATTAATGTGGACGATGAATCAAACTCCCCATAATGAAGATCCAAGACAGTTGAATCATTCTTGTAAGGGGTTTTCGTTTTCATGAATCAGCCTACATCAGATGAATCTCTAGATATCGAGATGCAGCAACCGATGCAGCGCTTGCGGCTCCTTCAGGTGGCTCAAGCAGCGCCAGTGGTGCTGGGCTCCAGGTTTCGATTCATGGAGCAAAAGGTGAAGATCGACTTCGAAACCAAGACGGTCTTTTTTCAGGTGCAAATGATGGACCTGCCAGAGTTGTTGGGCTTTTGGTTTCTGTTTTTCCCGAATGCGTAGCGAAGGGTTCTCGTTTAACTCTGGGGGTCTGGGGGTAGAGCCTTGTTCGCGACCCGTTGTTTCATGTTCGCAACCGTCCGCAACCGTCCGCAACCGTCCGCAGGTGTTCGCAGTAGAGCGCTAAGGCGCTGCCATTGGGGGAAGCTTTTGCAAGTGACTTTTCGTAGATGTGTCACGTGTCAGTTTACACCGCTATTACATTGTGATTTGCATGAAAATGAGATGTCGCGCAAGAAACGTAATGCATTTCGCTGCACAGGCGCAGTGGTTTGTGAGATCTGCAGTTTGCTGCGCAGTTCCATTGGGATTAGCGTTTGGAGAGTCGTGTTTTTGGGGTGTTGGATGTGGCCGTGCCATTGGGATTTGCGTTTCAGGGTGTGGCATCGAAGCTCTGTTTTCGTGACAAGTCTCAGCTGAAATGCCGATTTTGGTGGATGGGAGTGTGCTCACAGAATGGGTCGAAATCATTCCAAACGTGTGGTGTGGTGCAAATTTTGTTGAAGCTCACATGAGATGATATTGTCACTTTTCGTGGCAGGCACAGCACTTTGTGAACCTCCATGTGTAGATTTCGTGGCAGGCACAGCACTTTGTGAACCTCCATGTGCAGATT